TAAGTGAATTTTATTCAAAATGACGCGAACATTGTCAATAGCTTTTCTCGCTTTTTGATTGGCTACTTAAAAAAGTCCATGAAATCTCATTGGTTGAAAAGTTGAATGTTTGACAGCTGAGAGTTGAACTTGAAAGCTTGCATAAATTAAAATTTTATCCGTCTGTACTCTTAGTGATGATAAAAATGAGCCAATCAGCGCGCGTGAAATTAGACAGTCATTGTAAAAATTGTGTTTTCAGGGATATCTTTCAGGGGGGACACATAAACTCGAACCACGCCCAGATTAGTCTCCTTAAACGGTTTAATTGGTTTAGCAAACAGGCAGAGCACCCGGGTGAGGGAGTCCAATACGAAAAGGTCGGAGATGCTCGTCGTCTTGCTCAGCGGTATAAATCAAGGATTCTGCTCTCTCTCAGGGTGTTGAGGATAAAACCCCACATTTTTTAGCTGTCAAAGTATCTTTTAGGGTACACTCGAAAAGATTGCAATAAAAAACCAATATCATTTCTGTCTTCAGGCTCGATTTTCGCCAATCTCTCGAGTCCGGTCTACTAGCGCGGGCTGCTCTCCTGAACATTGCTGAACAGCAGCTGTTACACTGCTCTGCCACGTTGGAGGGGCGGGGGGTGGAACTCGCATATCAGAATGTCGGGGATGCTCCTGGGAAAATTTGAATCAAAAGCTGCGCGCGTTCGCTCTTCGCGAAACCAATGATGTTACTTCTAGTTTGTTTGTTGGTGTCTACTCGAATCATACGAAAGTCACTCACCGTAATGCACACAAATATAATCATGTTGAACTGGGCTAATATATAAATATCCAGACCGTGTAAATCACCATCATAGGACCCAACTACGCACACAAAAAAAGATACTGCACATGAAAGAACTGTAGTTTTAGATCTGAGATATTTATTTATCAACTAACACTTTGCCTTGTCTCTCTCTAGGGACCAGATTATATATCTGAAACCGAAAGTTGACATGAGACTACACGAATTTTAAGAAACGTTTAGACAAAGACGTAGACAACAACTGTAGATCTTTACAGTTTAAAGAAGTGGCCAGAAGTGATGAATTCTACATGGCCACATTGTGTAGCGTAATGGACAACGTCCGGCAGCCTCGTGCTTCGGATGCAATGTCAAATAATGGGCGTCAAAACAAAACCTAGATCAGCTCTTGACGTGGTCTCAGATCATGGCAACAGGCTGTATGCCAAGCTCTGTATGTCATCTGTTATATCTTGTCAAGTCATTGAAGAACGGGATCTGATTTTAAGTTAGTTGTTGGGAAATCAAACACAGAGTCGTCTCGATTTCCGTTGATAGGAAATGGTAATAGTCCAAACTGAGAAATGGTCCTCTCTCTTTCGGCTTGAAGAAGAAAGATTCTTCGAGCAAAAAGCAGCAGTAGACTATTAACAACTTGTTAATAATTGAAACTGCGTTGAATTACGCAAACCTTGTTGCACATTCATGGGGCTGTCTTTTGTAGGTTTGGAGGTCTCCTCCACACATGCCTTTGAGATCGTTTCAAACGTCTACGCTTGATCTTAAAATGGTGAGCTTTGCCCAGAAGCATCACCACTTTCCCCTTTTGTGGTCGCTGTATTCTAAGGCAGCTCCTAGGAATACTTCTGAAGAAAATTCCTTAGCTTATTATTTTATTATTGCGCTTTTACTGTGTAATATCATTCCTCATCTTGAAAACTGAAACGACCATGCAATGAATATACGTTGTACTCTGGCAGTGGGTATTTTATTTATGATATTTATGTTTCGCTTTTACACGGTGTCACATGGATCACATGGGTCACATAAGTGGTGCGTAATCAGCACTTTCTCGTCAAACTATGATCATGTTACGCAAGAATAGAGGCCTTACGAGTTGCTGGCCTTAAATTGCAATTAATATATGATGTTTTATACTCAAATATCAATTGAGTCGTCATAGTTGCCCGGTACAAAAGGATATTTAGTGTTATGAATTTATCGACTTGTATGAACATGTAGTATGGAAGGCTTTAAAAAGCCCAATTGAAGAAAATGCTAGACCAAACCGACCGTCTTACAGAACATGTACAATAAACATTATAATTTGGGGTACTAGCATTCGTCAACTAGTTGCTTCAAGTTTTAAACTGTCCATGTAGTAGCTAAATAAGACAAATATCGATAGCAGGTACGAGGTACTGTCACTCGAAAGCTAATCGCATTAACGCCCTCCTGAATGTCAAGCAAGAATAGGAAGAGGTCATTCAGCCGTTCGTTAATATTTATGACAATAAATCGAGCCTAATATCCTAGCCCAGAGGTTGGGGTGGGAAAACATGGAAGTTTTGATAAAGAACCTTTTAACGGCGTTACAAAATGTCCTTGGTGGTTTTGTTACGAGATCACAAATTGTACAATGTACAGAATGTTCCCTCAAATATGCAGTGCTTTGCCACGTGACGCTTATTTTACCTGTAGATGTTGTAAATAGTAATAGCATTATACATATAATCTAAATATCAACAGAAGACGTATTACATTGTATGTAGCAATTTACGTGTATAAAGCCTAGTCACAGAGAAACGACGAAAACAAGTCTTGACGATCAGTTTTATATGATTTTGATCTACTGTTATTAAATTACATACAAAATAATAAATGCTAGTTTACGTACTGTTGTGACGTTTCATCGATATCCTAACTAACCCTGACCGTAGACCCTGTATCGGACACTGACCGATGCTGTACACTAGTGATTGATTTATGACGAGACAACCTAACTCTGGTAAATGAAGGTTTCATTTCCAGTTTCTCTTCAGTTTCAAAAATTGGTTAACTAGCATAAATACTTATTTATTTTTCCACTAATTATGTATTTGTGCGTCTAAGTATTTATTTATTTATTTCCTTATCTGTCTTGAATCTGCATATTGAGGAGTATCGCATTCAATTAATAACTTAAGCCACGGAGAGAACACGATGTAAATTATTCGCCATCTTCACCTTACTCTTACTACCACCACTCGTTTGGTGAATTCTTAAAAGCATCTAAAATCAATATTAATGCTTTCAATCAGGGCTTGGTCACTGAATACAATAGAATGGTCGTTCTAAACACCATGTTTATTAGAACATCGTCATCAACATCATCTTAATCGCCAGAGAAGAAAGAAGGATAGGCAAAGGTTTCCTATCGGCTTGTCTCAGTGCTTTTACGGCGCGGAGTAATTGTGGGTCTTAGCTAGCTCCAACAGGGGTCCGGGGTGTGGGGAAGCCTAGGGATCGAGTGTTCATCCTTTGGATCTTTCATTTTTGACCATACAGCGAGCGGAGGGCTGCCAGTCCGAGTACACTTTCATGACTCACTTTAATGTTGAACAAAGATGAGCAGTATCATGTTTGGAAGAAATCCCATTGTACCGTCAATATGGGACGGGTAAAAAGCTTGAACGAATGTATGAAACATACTCTCTATCAACTCAACTACTTTGTTATTTGTAAAGAAGAGAAACTATGATGACTGAATTACTTAAGACGCGGGTTAACATGAAAGCCGTATTTTGGCTGGGTATTATGGGTTTAACGCAAATATCTTGCTCACGTTTCAAGCAGTCAAAAATCTCTCTGCTCATCCCACATATCTACGTTTTGGGCTGTTTTGTAAATTTTTTGGTGATTTTTTGGTATATTTGGGGATAGATAGTTTTTCTCCAGGGATTAGTAAAATTTATGGAAATAGGAAATTTTGAAGATTTNAATTAAAACATTACACTACAGAACTGTTTCGAAAGGGCCTTTGGGCCTTTCTCGTCTGAGAGAGGATGTGGACCTGCCTGACGACAACTACTTCACCAATATTAGAGCCTAATTAAGATTTCTAGCTTACTTCTAGCGATTGATTAAAAGTTAAAATGAGTAAACAGTAACACTAACACTTTTTAGCTTGGCTAAATCTAACTTACTTTTAATTACAAAAGTTTCACTGAATACGGTTCGTGCTTGTTATACAGCGATGCCCTGTTCATCTCATTATGCGGTCTTCAGTTTCCGTTTTCATGAACTAGAAACAGCTTTTTCGTAAATGTTACCTTACACGTTCAGAAGATTTGTATCGGCCACAGTAATCAAGAGGTTCCATACGTTGATTCCGCCACATTCTCTTTTACAAGCAGATCATTAGGACGGCGGCAATTCTTGAGATATATACAGATGATTGTTCCACCTATTCCGAATGCCGCACAAAGGATCGCAATCACAACAATGGCCGTAATCCAGGCGGGTGTTTCGTTATCAGCTGGGCACATGTCCGACGAACCTCTACAGATATGATCCTCGCAGCAAAACATACTCTCATCCGTTCCACAGTCCCAACTGAGATAACAAGACTCGCCGTAGCAGGTTTTCCTACACACACTAGCTCGTGGTCTTCTGTGACAACAGGCAGTTGTACCATTCGTACAGTCCGAATTGTATTGACATTCGTCGTCGCCATAGCTCGCTTCCAAAGAAGCGCTTAAAAGAAACAAGAGAGAAACAAAAATAGTATACCAAATCATGCTTGGCATTAGCCTTCTGCGCGGACGCTCTTCGCAATCTCAAGCAATCTTCCTCCCCCACGAACGTCTGCTGAAACAAACAGTACCTTCCTTCGGAACCCAGGGGCAGCAAGCCCATGAAGGACACCGCGGAAATACGTCTTTTGGGGCGCGATACACATCACGGAAATACGTTTTTGACGCCACAGTAACTGGTCAGTGGTCATCACCATCAGGCTGTC